CGGCCGTAATGGGTCCTCCCCAGGTCCCGAACCCTTTTGCCCTGGACATGAATGGTTCCGTCTTTCCCGACCTCATGAATGGCGCCCCCGTGTCGCCCCAGCCGTCTACCCAGAAACTCAATGATGCCTACTTTTCGACGCCTCCCCCTTCTCTGAGCTCTTTGAGTCCATCCATGGTTTCGGGTCTAAACAACACCCAGAACTTGAACCAGGCGCTCAACTTCAACAATGCAGGACCCGAGACCCCCTCGTCTCTCAATGGCGGAAACCATGGCGTCTCGCCTGTCTCCACCATCACGGATACTACCCGGAGTGCCATCGTCGGTGCCCTTTCGCAGTGCGCTCCTTTTGGTGGACGGAGATACTCATTTGCGACCCCAAGCTCGCCGTTGTCGCCAGGATTTCAGAACACAGCCAACAGTGTTCCTGACCATGTAAAGAATTTACCTAGCACTCAAGACTTACAACGATATGTTGGCGCTTATCTTCGTTACTTCCACCCTCATCTGCCGTTTTTGCACATTCCCACTTTGAATTTTGAGATGCCGCCCTCCGCTACCAACCGATCCAACAGCGTCGGTGGGAGCGGGTGTCTCATCCTTTCCATGTCTGCCATTGGCGCCTTGTACGAAATGGACCACGTCCAATCTCGAGAACTGTTTGAGATGGCCAAGAAAATGATCCAGTTGTATCTAGAGGAGAGGCGGAAAGCCGATGTGAGAAAGGCAGACTTACGCAGAACTCCAGCATCCGAGCCGAACTCTCACAGCCAGGAATCCTCAGTCCACACCCCGGTCTGGCTCGTCCAAGCCATGCTTCTCAACGTCGTCTACGGCCACAATTGCGGCGACAAGACAGCCAGCGATATCGCCTCAACCCATTGTGCGGCCCTTGTCAGCCTGGCTCAGGCTGCCGACCTCCTTCGTCCTATTCGCGTCGAGTCTAACGAGACTCATGACACTCACATGCGTGATGATGCCAACTGGCCCGGCATGCGAACGGATTCTGAAGAGCAGGCCGAATGGATCCAGTGGAAGACGATGGAAGAGCGCAAGCGCACCCTTTATGTTGTCTTCATCCTTTCCAGTCTCCTGGTTGCAGCATACAACCACACGCCCGCACTCACCAACTCGGAAATTCTGCTTGACCTGCCATGCGACGAAGAGTTCTTCTCCGCTGAGAGTAGTACTGCATTTGCGGCAAAGGGTGGCATTCGCGCGGCTAACCATAATCGGATGACATTCCACGAGGCTTTGGGGGAGTTGCTGAGGACGAACGAAAAGCAACAAAAGCAGAAGGCTTTCAATGCGCAGCAAGGGTTCGGGCCAGGGGTTAATATCCACGACATGCCCACCAGCGACTTGAAGCCGTCCACGTTCGGATGCCTGATTTTGATTAACGCGCTGCACAACTACATTTGGGAAACCCGACAGCGACACCACAACAAGGTCTGGACAAACGAGGAAACGGAAAAAATGCATCGCCACATCGAGCCGGCTCTCAAGGCGTGGCAGGCGGCATGGGCAAGCAACCCGAACCACAGCTTGGAGCGACCGAACCCCTTTGGCTTGGGCCCGCTATCTGCCGACGCCATTCCGTTGCTCGATTTGGCCTACGTTCGTCTTTTTGTAAACTTGGCTCGATCAAAGGAGAAATTCTGGCAACGTGATTGGGACGCCATGGCGGAGGAGCTCTCGCGAGGTAGCGAAATTGTTCAGCACGCTGAGCACTCACCCGCCTCAAACACCGAATCGAATGGCACAGACCCTTCTGATAACTCAGTCTCCAGCTCGGTCTTTGCCGAATCGCCGGCCACGCAGTCCTCATCCCCCGAATTCTCTTCGGCAAAGTTCCCACCCCCGACCCAAGCCCCTCCTCAACTCACCAACCGTTCTACATCGCGCAGGGAGAAGCACCTAAGGAAGGCCGCCTTCTACGCCGCTGACTCTCTCGCGATGTCGGACAAGCTTGGTGTTACTTTTGCCGATTTCTCCAGCCGCGAGCTGCCTCTTCAATCGGCAATGTGCGCTTTTGACTGCGCCCAGGTTTTGGCTGAGTGGGTCGCGACTCTGCAAGATCGCATCGGGCGATATTTGGGAATTTTAGGTCAAGATGAAGTTGATCTATCCCAAGTGCCAGCAATTATGCTTCTGGAAGAGGAAGATGTCAAGTTGTTGGGCAAGGTCCAGGAGGTGTTGGCCTCGGCTGAGATGAAGATGAACTTGGAAGTCGTCCAGGGTAGCATTGTGGGGGTTGATGCCAGGATGCAGATGGACGATCATACAGGATACGCAGCCAAAATCCTGCGTGTCACAGCTTACATGCTCGATAAAGCTGCTGTGTGGCCAGGTAAGTTGCCCCAGTCAGCCGGGACGAACTTTTCTAACCCACTACAGTCACTCATCTCATGGCCCGATGCCTCGAGACTCACGCTACTCACATGAGAGCCCGAGCCGAAAAGTCCATCATTGCATGCGAATAAACAAAAGGCCAACTGGAAAGGAGAGTCAATCGCGAAGATTTAATCACGATGACATTATTGAGAACTGGATGTGGAGGATCGCAGGCGAAAATCTGCCTGCAGGAAGAGGGGATGAAAAGTCCGGTGACCAAGAACAAAACTTGGAAAAGGATTATCGAAAAAGAAGGGGATGATATAAGAAATCGACGACAAAATACCCTAACGCTCTTACGGAAAAGAAAAAGTACACTTGTATGACGTTACGACATGTTCTCCTCGCGAGGAAACATTCTTTCGAGCTGGCACGTCACGATGCCACGCACATTTTACGTTTACGCTGACGCAGCGACCTGGAAAACAACGGAAACGCGAGCATAATTGCTTGTCTTGTACATCAAAAAGTTCTGCCATAGCCTCGATGGCCCAGTTGGTATACGGTCTCTCATTCGGTTTGGGAAACCCGAGCTACTATCTCTCTCCCTGTTGCATATGGGCGTCCTTGAACAAGGCATTTGAGGCTAGTATGGACAGGAATTGCTTTATACTGGGGAATCGGAATGGCGTATTATTTTCTTCAATTCTTGCGCAACCCACAGCATCGATTCAGAAGATCCACAGAGTTTCTGTGGATCACAGAGTTTCTGTGGTCCTCACGAGTCGGTGGCGTGGGTTTCAAGCGCCATGTTGGGTTGGGTGCGGCCACAAAAATCTGCGTCCAGTCAACTTTGGAAAACATTTGTCTCGACGGATACGGACATGGAAGGACTCGATCAACTCGATCAACTCGGGACTCGCAATCTTTGGGTTGCTATTTTGAATGGAATGGATGTACTAGGTTACGGTGGGAACAAGAATCACGGGCGGTTTACCAATCCCTGCGCAGGAAGGCGGCATCTCTTGGGAGGGCGAGCCTCACGAGATGCCGGGCTGGAGTTGAGAGAAGGGGTGTTGGCGTTGCCCCTTGGCGAGAAGCGGTTCACATGGAGAGGCTTGTGTCTAAGGACCAGGCGACACCGGCAGGGATGGGAGGACCTGGGGAAGTGCCCTGGAGAGAAGGATGACGATAGCTATCAATCAAAACAAAGTATTTGGCTCCAAGTTTGATCTTCCAATGCGTATCAGGACGCGGAAACGAGCTGTTGATGTTGTTCGCTCAGATTCAGGGGGAGTCTGTTGTATGCTGCCCATATCTACACGGCCGGGGCCCGCTCCGGCACGCCATGTGGGGCTGTGCCGGACCCAGTCCGATAACAATGTCCTCGGATCAAAGGCACATCAACTTTAGCTGTTGAAACGATATCAATCGCAAGTCCGAGCGGTGTCGCATAAGTAAAGAATCTCGGACGTTGAGGAATGAATTGCAACGAACCATTGACGACATGCTCGCTCAGAATGAGACGAAGAGCTTGATTAAGAACACTTCGAGTAGAAATCATAACTGAGTCCGACATGTCCCGGATGTGCCTCGAATAGGAATCTTTGGCCGGCGCGCTTGTTGCTGTGCCGCAAGAAGGCATATTGCTTGGTTTAATCTTTTGGCTGTGAGTAATACAGCCGCATTTGACGGCACACATGCACCTGGTTGCCATTTCACAGAGTCGATTCTCGCTGCTTAAACAAAGCGCAGCAACCTCTCTTTACGCTCTTGTTCAGTCACCATGACCAGCTAAACCATATGACAAAACCCTGAATATTCGCAAATTACGCCCGTCATGTCCAAAATTCTTCCGCCCGCTTCATTACCCGCCTTCTCGCCTCGCTCCCAATTAGCCCCAGCGGCCAGGCGCATACTATCGAGACTCCAAGGACCATTATCCGACTCCGTCTTCATTCTGCGAAATCAGGAACGCGAGCCCTACGTTGTTGCCCCGGGCCCTGCAGGCAACTCCGGCCTTCACCCAATTGCCCAAGCATCACTTACCGAACCCAAAGTCGGATCGATTACCGTACACGTTGACGTTTTGCGCCGGTGGCAGGAGGAGTGGCTTGAGCGACACGAGCGGCACGCCCATGCCGATGACAAGGACTGCGTCTTTGTTCAACTGCCCGACAAGGAGCTTTACGAACTATCGGGCTCTAAGTCCTCGGGAGACGATGGAGACGGCGAGATGGAGCTTCTTCGTTGCTGCGACACGGATAGGCCCAAGAAGGCACAGCCCCTTGTCATCAACGCGTCCGATACCTACGTTACGGTTCACGACTATCTTTCAGCATTACACCCATGGCTGATGGGCTTGCGTGACGATATCGTGAGGGCGGATAACGTCTGCGAGGATAAGGCGCCGGATGACTATAGGAAGCTGGTGGTGGATTTCATACTGCCTAACTCTTTGAAAATCTTAGATGAGAGACGGTTTCTCCGTCAGGTCGGTATGGTTCAGATGCCTGAACCTGTGGACAAGGAGCTCGAGGACTTTTTGAGGGAGGTTTGCAGGCCTGGCGAACCTGAGGAACCCAACTACCAATACATGTACATCCCGGAACAGCCCTCTCAATCACTGGTATTAGACCGGTCCAACCAATCTAGGACCCTATGACTTTATTTGACAGGCAACCAGCAAGTCACCCTCGGGTCATAGCTCTTCTGATTGGGCCCCAATTCTCCACACCGCAAGCTTGTCGACGAGTCCCTGCCGGCATCGTAACCCGTGTGCGTAACGCAGTCAAAGCTGGAGACCCCATCACACGAGAACTTGCCAGGACCGCCATCCTTGCTGGCGTACTTGCAGTTCTTCCTGCCGTGGATGTCTCTAATGGAGCTTATGCTTTCTGGCCACGACTTTGACTTGTGGTCGTCGACGGGATCTGCTTCTCCTATGTGCGGCGCCGTGCAGGGGTCTGAGTCTGTGCTGCCCCGGGCTATCATCACCCATCTGCCGGTTCGGGTTTGTGCGCCTTGTCTCACCCGTATCGCGAGCTCGTAGTAGATGTCGACGCCTTGCGAGGGCTCGGCCTCTTTCGGCTTGGTCGATGTAGTTGCCGGGGCTCGGGAAGTTGATGTCTTGGGCTGTGATGTCGAAGGCGAGGTTGTGATGGAAGTGTGTGTGGCTTTTGTGGCTGACGTCGATCTCGAACTCGTGTTTGACGTTTTGGAAGATGACTGGCTCGCGCCTGTGGAATGCGAGGCTGTCTTTGAGCTAAGGAAGGTCGTAGTATTGGCTAGTGACGCTGTCTTTGAGTTGATGAAGGTCGTTGTTTCAGTCGATGGAGCTGTTTTTGAGTTGACGAAGGTCGTGGTGTTATTCAATGAAGTTGTCTTGGAGTTGACGACTTTCGTAGTGCTAGTCAAAGCCCTTGATGTCGCAGCTGATCCCGTAGACCCGGGCCGGCGAGTGATGGTTGCATTCAAACTACCAGTTGTCGTGACTCGAGGAGTTGAACCCGTTCCAGTCAAACCCGGTCGTGTTGAGTTGAAACCGGCACTATGAGTCGTAACGAGAGATCCAGTAGGCTTCTGTTTCCGCGAAGAAGCCCTTTTGGTAGCCGTCGACGCCCCAGACGTGGGTTTACGCATAGAACACACCTGCCTCGGCGCATTCTTACTCTGGAAGATCTGATTCGACTCAGGAACCCAACTGTCGTACTTATTACCGATCTCGCGGTTCTCCCACCACAGCCTCCAGCTGGCCATGTCGTTGCAAGTCTTGGCCGGATGGTACTGGATGAGCAGCTTCCCGCGTACGGAGGTCCTCGCGACATTTTCCTGGAAACCACGACACTCCTTCCGTCTCGCACTCGCTTCTTCCGGCGTCTCCTGCCTTCCTGCCCGGACCCTCTCCATCCGAAGCGTCTCGTACTTCTCAACTATGCGGTTCGGCAGCGCCTGGGGCGAGTAGTCGAGGGTCTCCACGGGGATGTCGCCCAAGCTATCTCGTACGATCTGTTTGAGTTTGCCCACCTGGCTCGGGTACCGTATCTGGCCCACGTTGTGGTTCAGGTCGTTCAAGAATTCGGACTCAGGGACAAGTTGGCCGTTGCGGAATCGCTCGGCTCGCACGCGGGGAGCTATGATGTAGGCGCGCGTGCCAATGTCCTGGGTCGACTTTGCGCCGTCTTTCGTATTGTCATCCTTCTCCTTGACATCCCCGAACATTACGCCCTCGGGAGCGCGGTCTGGATTCTCCACCATCGTGTTCATCCCGAACTTCATCCACTCCTCTCCAGGCTCGCCGGGGGCGATTCCCTTAGGCAGCATATCATTCACCAGGAACGTGAACTCTTTTTGCGTGTAGATTTGGTTCTCCCAGATGTGGCTCACCCACGCCCCGCGCTGTGATACCACAACCACCGCCGTGCAGCCGTACAGACCCCCAAGAGTAATGGCCGCGACCTGTGAGTCGAAGCGGACGTGGTTAGACGTCGTCATGCCTGCCATCTCCACTCCCACATGCTCCGGTTGGCCGTGCCGGACCCAGACCGGATCGTACCCGCCAAAGAACTCGAGGTCTTGGTTGTTCGGGCTCGGGTCCCAGGTCGTGATGAGCTGGAACTCGTTAATGAGGAACCGGTCCCGGCGGCCCTCGGGGTAGTCTTCTGGGTCCGGCCAGTCGCCCTCCACCGGCATGCCGCGCTTGGTCATCCACTTCGGTTTCTCCACGTCCTTCCACAAGATGACTGGACAGGCATCGCCGCAGTCAGAGACTTCGCACCGCTCTTCTTGGTAGACGGGACATGCCTTGACCTTGTTCTGCCTGGGTCGTAATTTGACAGGACTACCGTCACTTCCACTGCCAGCTCCCTCGCCGTCGCTTGACTCGTCATCATTCGGAGCCACGAAGGTTTGGTCATCGGACGCCTTCCACTGGTCGCTTCGGTCCCCTAACTCGCGGTCCTCGATCCACAGACGCCACGCCGCCTGGTCTCTGCAGTCCTCTACGTCTGCGGGTTGGTATTGAAGAAGTAGCTTCCCCCGCGGCGTGGGCCCATAGGTTTCACGCTGGTACCTGCTAAACTCTTCAATCTCCCTGTTTAACTCGTCCCCTTGCGGGTCTTTACCGCCTCTCTCCTCGTATTTTTTATACTTTTCCATCAACATCTCCAGCGTCCCCAGAGGCGGTGAATACGTGATAACCTCCACGTCAATATCGCCGTAGATAGAACTGACCATACTTTTCAGGAAGTCAACCTGATCTTCGTATGCGATCGTGCCATCCATTGCGTTGATCGGGTCAGGAAGGGCAACCTCGTCTGGGAAGAATAGCCACTCAGTACCGTCCTCAGACTTCTCCACTCGCTTCGGCTTCTCGCGGGGCGTGAGAATGAAGGCGCGGGTGTTGAGGTCTTCGGAGCTCTTCTTGTCCCTGTCATCGTCATCCGGTGTCGCCACGTCGCCAAACATAGTGCCCGGTGGCCCGATGCGCTCCTTGCCAACCAGATCCTTCAAGCCGTATTTCGCAAAATCCACCACCCTGCGCCAGGGGCTAGTTGGAAGAACTGAATAGAGCCCTTTCCACAGTTCGCTGTCTTCGTCTTCCACGTCTCGCTTCCACTCGTGGGGAAACGCGAACACTGTCTCCCAAACGTGGTTCACAAACGCGCCGCGCTGCGACACGACAATAATGGACGTGCATCCGTAGAGTCCCTCAAGCGCGATTGACGCAACGTCTTTGCCGAAAAGAACATATTTGGACGTGGTTATGCCGCCGAACTGTGGGGAGAGATTTTGTGAGGAGCCGTGCGTGACGTACTGAGGCTCGTAAAGACCGTTGACAGCAGGGCCGCGTTGTCTCCCAATCATCTCCCAGTCTCTGATCTCTGCCATCTGGGCGACCATGAACTTGCTACGATCCCCTTCGTAGTCTTCCGGGTCGGGCCATTCACCGTCGACCGTCTGCCCACGCTTCTCGAGGTCCGCTGTGCGACGTGTGAGCTCCTGTGAACTCACTGATGATCTGTCTGGCGGCTTTGAGCAGGAAGATCCGTCCCCGCCGCCGCAGGTCTCGGGCCGGCATAGAAACGGGGTCGGGTGGCCGAGGGTTGCTGTAGACGTGCTCGTCACAGTCGTTGTTGCTGATGTCGCACTGCACCCGGTGACTGTGACGTTGTTCTGCCTGGGTCGGAGTGGGTTGGGAGCATGGTAACTCTCATTGCCACTTCTCTTTCTGTTACTTGGACCACTATTCCACACGAAAGTCTGGTCCACGGACGCGGTCCACTGGTCGCTTCGATCTCCGACCTCGTGGTCCTCAATCCACAGACGCCATGTAGCCTCCTCTCTGCAGACATCTGGATCCGCCGGCTGGTACTGAAGAAGCAGCTTCCCCCGCGTGCTTTTAGCCAAGAACCTTTTCTGCCAGGCGCCCGCCTCCGCTTCCCTCTCAGCCCACCATTCTTGTTCCTCTTCCTCTGTCGCCGGTCTCCCTCCACGTTCTCTCTCTTTCTCAATCGTCCTTCTTTCCCAAGATTTGAACAGATTGGAAGGGATATTGGACGGCTGATATCCAACCACCTCAATAGGAATTTCTCCAAAGATATCAGAAATGATGCTTGTCAAACCGTTGACCTGCGGCTCATACGCGAGATTTCCGGGTAGCACGAGCTCCTCGTCGGGGATAAGTTCTTTCCCAGCCCACCTTTCTGGCCTTTGTTTCGGGGTAACGATGAAAGCGCGCACGCTGATGTCTTGAGGCGTCTTCTGGTTCGGGTCGTCTCCGTTCTCGTTCACGTCTCCAAACAAAACGCCCTCAGGCCCGAGATCCGGCTTCATGATCATGTCTTCCAGACCGTACATCATAAAATCGCGCGCGGAGTATTCCCAATCGTGTGGCGCTTTGTCGTGATATCCCTTACGCAGCGGGCCAAGCTTCCCTCTCAGGAGGGCCCATGACGCTTCGTCCCCTAGCTGGTCTTCCCAGATATGGCTGACCCATGCGCCACGCTGTGAGACTATAACGATGGATGTGCAGCCGTAGAGTCCCTCGAGCGCGATTGCTCCGACGTCTTTGCCGAAGCGGATGTAACTCGACGTCATTGAGCCACCCATTTCTTCGCCGACAACACCTTCCTCGCCGTGGGACACATACTCCGGCATATATCCGCCTCTGATATCAAGCCCAATTTCGTCCTTGATGGCATGCCACTCACCGATTTGATCTACTTGGTCGGGAAGAAATTTGGCGCGGTTTTCGGGTGTATAGTCCTCATCTGGATCGTACCAGAAACCGTGACCCGGCAAGCCGCGCTTGGCCAGTTCCAATGACCGGTGTGCGAGCAATGTCTCTTCCGCCGCTGTTCTCTTCTGTAATTGTGGACAGGAGGACCCGCCCTTGCCGCCACACTTCCCGGGTCTGCATAGTTGTGGGAAGTCGGTGTGGGTTGCTGTGGACGTGGTTGTCACGGTCGTTGCCGCTGGCGTCGCACTGCAGCCGGTGATTGTGGTGTAGGCGCTGGTGACACAGTTCGTGGCGGCAGCTTGCGCGTCGCGTCTGGCGTTGCCTCCTGGATAACTTCACGTTAATTTGACCCAGCAGGTAGTTAAGGTATGGTATGGAATGGGGAAATTGTAAACCTACCATTGGTGATTGAAGTGACTGTGACGGAGCAAAAGACACTTTGACGGGTTGCAGTGACAGTCGTCGTGCAAGATGAGGTTGACGTCGACGTGGACTTCTCCTCTGTCTCTGTCTTGTCGTCCTTCTTGTCATCGTCATTCTTTTTATCATCGTTTTTGTCATCCTCGTTATCGTCACCGCCCTCATCGTCTCCGCCCTTGTCGCAGTTGCCAATCTCAATGAAAAATATTTTAATGCAGAACTCGGGGACCTCGAGTGTGAGTTTGAATTTTGGAGGGAACTCAATGCCCGGGAAACAGCCGAAGCAGATGATTGGGGGCCCTTTGAAGGGAAAGATGACTGGGAGAGTCAGTGCGGGAAAGATGTAAGTTGAGTTTGGTTGGGAAAAGCCTTACCTGGGACGATCGTTGGATCGTTGCCGCCTCCTGGCGATGTGGTAGTGATGATGAAGGGTGTTCTGTGGGCGAAAGACGTCGTTTCGGGATATGGATGTTTGAGAGCTTCCTTGGCAAGCGTAGTGATTATTACTCCAGACTCTGTCGATGAAGAAGAGATTACACTGGACAAAGTTGACGAGAGGCTGGTCGATGGAGTAGTTGTGATGGAACCCGTTGATGAGGGTGTGCGACTTGGATCTTTAGTGGTAGATGATGGGAAAGGATTCAAAATTGCGGAAGTGCCGTTTGCTGGTATTGATGGAGTCAGGGCCCGATCCCTCGTGGATGACCAAGACCGATCTTTTGTCAAAGACGACGAAGAAGTGACTGCCGTCAGTGCTGTCGTTGGTGTCACATTGGTTCTCGTGGCTTTGGAGGATGCGGATGACCTCTTCGCTGTGGTCGACGGAACAAGGAACGTAGCTCTCGTCGAGTTGAAAGGGAGCACACGTGTCGTGGTCGACCTCGGTACCGTTGATGGCTTATCCGTAGAAGGTCGTGCCGACGTGGTGTTCCGCCACCCTGAAGATGCGAACGCTGAGCTTGCAGACGAGATTGGCAGTCCATTTGTTGTTGAGACTGGTTTTGTGAGGCTTGTGGTTGTCAACCCCCATTGAGAAGTACGCTGAGTGTGTGAGATTGTCACAGGCTCACCGTTCGTCTAGAAATTCGTCAGTTTTGAGCTTGTGAACTGGCCATATGACTTACCACTGTAGTGTTGTGCCAGGCAACGTCAATGCTCGAAGTACAGACGCCAGAGTCACCACGGCAAGTGGGCTGGACTGGTTGATGAACAAGCGTGGTAGTATTCAAGAAGTGGTTGGCCGGGCTGGTGGGATTTTGAAATCGGGCAACAGGCTGGTTTAGCCCTTGCTCATGTAATGCATGGGCCAAGGGCAGAGTCCCGACAAGAAGCATCAGCAATGGCCGCAACATGGCCACGAGTGTTCAAGCACGGTGACTTGTGGACGATGAAGTCTGTAGTGGAGTTTGGAAGCATCTTATTATAACAACCATCCCTCAAGCGAAGCCGCAGGGAATAACTAACTTTCTTGGCCCCTTACCCTACACATCCCATCACGAGTCTTGGGTCAGTAGTGGCTTGTTCGTGCATCAAAGACGTGCTTGACAGAAGGAATCTCGTGATCAATGTTTTGTAACCTTGAGCGCCTCTCGATGCACTTTGCCGCAATATTGTTATTTCGCTATGTAAAGCTCTTGCTCTGATAGTCATGAAACCGCTTCTGCAGGATCCTGTTACACAAGCATACGCCGTAGTTACACATGCTTCGTGAAGAATAGGTAGGAGGCTTTTCAGTCTCAGATAACAAGTTGTAAGGGGTTATCAACAAAGGGATAGAGGAGCGATGAATACAGGATTCCAATGGAGCACAACGCAGCTGTAAGCTCACATAAAGGCGTTGAAGCAGGTTGGATGTCGTTGGTATTGCAAAGTATCCAATGCAGGGAGAGTGACTGACCCAAGTATGGGCGCCATCTCGTGATTCGTATTAACCTGCTGTGACTTGTAAATTATGAACGTTACTTTGGTATTTGTCCGACTAAGAGTCAAATATACGGGTAGATAGTGCGAGTTCTTGCTAGACCAAGCCCGCATGCTTTCTAAACATGGAACCTGAAGTGCAAGTTGAGCGTGGCTAATATATCACGATATGAAATCCTCTGCTCATCGAGTATTATGTAGCTCTGGCCCGAAACTTTATTACTAAAGCTGCAATGAAATGAACTTCATACTCAATTTATGGATCTCCTTCCTTTGCGATGCCTACTTAAACAGCATACGCTTTCACCCAGTCAAGCTTCCCTCCAGCCAGCCACCATCAACCCTCCATTCAGATCTTGTGACAAATTTGCTCTCGTCCCCTAGCAGAAAACAGATGGAGGCGGCGATCTCCTCTGGTTCGGCCATTCTCTTGATCAGTTGCGGAATTGTTTGCGCAGTTGGCGTGAAGGTACCACCGTCAGGGAGCTCGAACGGTGTGCTGGTCATTTCCGAGTTGATTGTACCCCTGAAAACATGTAAGCTAAGAACGTTTACGAGATACGAAAGATTTCCAAAAAAAGTAGAAAACGGAGCCCAGCTTACGGATTGAGAGAGTTCACACGAACACCTCTCGCAGCACCCTCAAATGCAGCTGCCTTGGTCAAACCGGCAGCCCCATGTTTGGATGCGATGTATGCACCATAGTATGGTGAGCTGAAGGAGCTGCATACACTGCCCACATTGACGATGCTTCCGCCTTCGGAGATGACTTTCATCTGTTCTCGCAGCAGATAGAAGAGACCATTCACATTCACGTCCATGATCTCCTTGTAGTCCTCGATAGGAAGCTCGGTGAGGGGGAAGAGCTTCCTCTGCTCTTTGCCTGAGGCGACTATCAGTAAGTCTTCGTGAGTGGAATGGCGGTGCCAAAGTTACCAGACACGTTGGCACAGCCATCGATCCGTCCGAAGCGCTTCATCGTCTCCGCAATCCACGCTTGAACGTCTTCATACTTTGTGATGTCGCATGCCATTGTCATGATTCGGTCATCGCTTCCCGGACACTCCTGGAGGACCTCTGCGTGCGCCTTTGCAATCCCCTTGGGCGAGGAACTCGACATGGAAACTGTCGCCCCTCGCAGGACGAGATATTTGACAGTGGCCAAGCCGGTGCCTCGGCTCGCGCCGGCGATTGTGACGACCTTTCCCTTGAAAGGAGTCAAGGTTGGCTCTAGGATTCCCATTATGTTAGCGAAAGGCTAAGTGATATTATGTGAGGATTGAGACAAATTAGTGTTCAGTGGTAGCAATGGCACAGACTGACAGATTTCACTGATAAATATCCCACCCGTTCTTGGGTTGATTTCCTCATGCTGCGCAATTAAGCGTCACTCCACGCCCCACAGCCGCATGTAAATGCATTGCAACAGGGAGCAGGAAGCAAGTCTAAGGACCAACAGCAATTGTTCAGCCTATCTCTATGGATGATTCACCCGTCTAAAGGTGGGAAACCGCCGCGGATCATTCGCCACTTTCGCTCCAACAACGCGGGCTATCTACCCACAGTTTGCGGGGTGCAAAGGGCCGGGGCTGACCGGCCCCCGGAGCCATCTCCGGCGAGAGCATTTACGGCATCGGATTCGCCAGTAGAGATCGCGACCCTTGGGGTAAAGACTGTTGGAACTGGGGTAGCTTATGTTCTTACCTGCAGAACCCACACTTATCAGACCATTTGATGGCATATTTCACGCAATGTTACAAAAAGCCAAGACCAAGTCCCATTTCCTTGTGCCCGAGCACAACGTGGTTGGTGATGATTGCGCTGCGTAGATAAGGCAGCGAGTCGGCCTCGCAATCATCGTCATCCCCTTGGTGTAAGGAATCTAGGTACCGTACCATGCATGATAGCTTCTTAAACCCCGGTAGGTGCTTTACAATTAGATGCATGTCCCTTCTCTGATGCTTAGTCGCTACATGCAAGTTCAAACATACTTTAAGGGCCTAGATAAACGCTTGACTTGTCCTTTTCGAAGGATGAGACAAGCGGCGATATGATGGTAGATGTTGACGGGAGGAAGTAAGGCAAGAATAAAGGAGGCAGGCAGGCAGGCGCCCGTGGGGCCGTCCCTTCCCAGAGGGAGCCCGGGCTTTTCAGTGGGGAAAGTTCGCTCCCGCTGGCGTGATGCACTGAGCAGGTGCCCCCCCGCTGTCCCGCGTCCCGCGCTGCAAGTCACGGTGCAGCGCAGCGCAGTAGCGGTCCGGGACCTTCCTGCTCCAAGCATCCACCTTCCACGCTTCAACTCGGACCTCGCATCCTTGTCGCCTTCTCTCGTCAGCTTCTTTCCCCTCCTCAATCTTGTCCTTCTTCCCCAGCAGACAGCACCATCTGCTGCCCAGATATCGACGCCGTTGCCGCAACAGCTTCTTGTCTCGACAGCGATTCCTGCGCGTTGGTAGAAAAGCAGCCGACCATGTCCTCCCAATCGCCGAGCCTACGCAATCTCCAGGCGTCGACCGTCTTCCTCAACTCGGCCGTCGCCGGACTCAACCTGGGTCTCTCCGTCTTCGTCATTCCCCGCCTCCTCGAGTCCCCGACCCCGCTCATGCTACGACAATGGACCAACATGTACAAGCGGACCAGCCGTGCCTTTCCACCTCCGATCCTCCTTTGCGTCTTGAGCTATTGCTACCTAGCCTTTGCGTTCCGACAGCTCCCCGGCAAGGCCAAGGCATTCGCAACAGCCGCTGCTCTGTGCCTCTCTATCGGTCCGTGGACCAGGTTCTTCTTGGGCAACATCAACAAGAAATTATTCCAGAAGGCCGAAGAAACAAGGGACATGGGCATCATGGCTGTTGGCCTGACCCAAGAAGAAGAGGAGGGTGCCAAATACCTGGTCGACCAATGGGGTCTATACAACCTGGGGCGCAGTGTTGCCCTTGGTCTCGGAGGTGTTGTCGGTCTGTACACCGTCATATCCTGAGTTCGTTGAGTCGACTGTTGTCAGATACGCAAGAGCATCTAGCTATTATTACCAAGATCTTTCCGATGCGACGTTGAGCTATTCCGCTGTATCATACATCATACACACGATATACACCACTATACAAATCCGTTTGAACTCATGGGTATCATTATTACAGCTATATCTACTAATACTACAGATTACTTTTGTACTCCAGTCTCATCTCCACGCATCTGCCACTAAGATTGCCCACGCAGAGTTCCAGTCGTCACATCGGCTTCGTGTGCCTTCAGAGGCATCGTGCGGTTGAAGATCTTGTGACCGACAAGCAAGACAATGAATAGGAGGACGCTGATGTACGCAGTGAAAAAGTCACTGGTGCTCCACTCCATGAAGACAGTGAAGCCGTTGGTCAGGATGATGAGGACGTTGAAGAAGAGGCCGTACCACGACAGCCAAGGCTGGAAGGGTGCCCGGTACGGCAGGATGCTGCGGGGGATGTTCTGCGCCTTGAAGGCGGCCATGAAACGAATATGGCAGATGTTGATGCAAGACCAGCTGATGAAACCAGCAACGGCTGTGATGTTGAGAAGCCAGTCAAACACGACGCCGCCGTTCTCAGACAGGTTCATGTACGCAAGCAGACCAACGGCAGAGGTGGTCGCGACGGCCATGTACGGAGTGCCAAACTTGTTGGTCCAGGTCATCCACTGGGGAGCGCACCTCTCGTTGGCCAGCGAAACCAGGATACGGGAGCCAGAATACACGTTGGAGTTGGCAGCAGAGAGGACAGCGGTCAGAAGCACGGCGTTGATGATGTCAGGGAGAACCTTCACGCCGGCCAAGTTGGCAGCAATGACCAAGGGGGACGCAGAAGCATCCTGGCTGTCGAGCAGCAGCGACGGGTTGTCAGAGGGAACAAGGATGCCCACGAAGAAGATGGTGGCGACGAAGAGGCTGAAGATTCCCCAGAATGTCCAGCGGACAGCACTGGGCACGCTCTTCTCGGGGTCCTTGGTCTCACCAGCACCGATACCAACCAGCTCGGATCCCTGGAAACTGAAGCCGGCCGTGATCAGGACAGACCAGAAGCCGACAAACTTGCCTACGGAACCCTCGACAATGGACGCGTTGAATGGACCAGGGTCGACCCAGTACTTGAAGCCGAGGTAGCCCTGCTGACCAACACCAGCGTTGATGCAGATGGCGAAGATGATGAATCCGACAATGGTGACAACCTTGATGCTCGCGAACCACATTTCAACCTCACCAAAGATGCGGATGGGCATGAAGTTGAGGGCGGTGAAGACGACCCAGAAGATGGAGATGAAGATGGCGATGCTCAAGGTGTCGTTCCAGTACTGGATGATGACGCCAGCGGCGGTCAACTCGAGGGCGAAGGTGATGGACCAGCTGAACCAGTACATCCAGCCCATGGCGAAACCCAAGGTGGGGTCGATGAACCGGGAAGCATACGACGTGAAGGCGCCGGGGACGGGGATATAGGTCGCCATCTCACACAAAGCCGTCATGACGGAGTAGACGATGCTGCCGATGAAGATGAAGGCGATCAGGCAACCGACGGGGCCGGCAGTAGCGATGGCCTTACCGCTACCGAGGAAGAGACCGGTGCCGATGGTGCCACCTGCGACGGCGAGTTAGAGGGAACTCATGACCCCGGATGGGATGCGATCAGTCACATACCGATGGCGATGAACTGGAGGTGACGAGCGTTAAGGGTGCGGTGAAGACCGGTCTCCCCCGTCTCCAAGTCGTCCTTGGAGACATTGTTGGGGGTGACCTCGCCCTCGGTGGACTGGGGCGTCTTCTCCTTGGAGCTGAACATGATGTTTGGTCGGCCGGTGGCTACACGGGACGTTCACAGACTAGATGGAAATCTCAGTCTCGTCGACCGCGGCTAGCTAGGAGCAAAGAGGTGAGCAAGATCGGGGTAAGAGGGAAGCTTGTTGATTCGCTTCTCCGGAAACCACCAGACGCATGAGCAAACGGAAACCTGGGGGAGGACAGAGAGGTTCCGCTACGACCAGACGCTCATGGCATGGTTAAATATAATACGGGCTTCTCTTACTCAACGGGTTCCACTACGCGTCGACTCATCGCGACCGGTAACGGTGGCCGTGGGCAAAAAATCTCGAGAGGTGGGAACAATGGCCTCGCTCGAGACCCCCATCGCTTTCCTCGTTAGGGGTTGGCCGATGGAGCACACGAGTCCTCGCGGTCCATCACGCCCTAGTAATGCGACTCGGGAGTCGGCCGGCCACGGGTAACAGCGGCGTTTTCACCAGGGGCCATCCTCTCGACCAGAAAATGGACCGTGGAGCACGAGCTGTTGGACGAAGGGGGGCGGGCAATGACATGCCACTCAGCTGCAAGAACCACGTCTTTCGCAGTTTGTCCGATCGACCGGGAATGTAATTCGTATGTACGCCGGAGCTGGTTTGGCTGCTCTTTGCCTTTTGGAGCCTCCTCCTGCGGCTCGAAGCTTCATGCAAAATCGACCGCCGCATCGCGCCACCCGGTTCCCACCGAGCTTGGCCCGAGCCTCTATTTCCCATGAGGCACTCCCAATTTTTTCTCCGCCAAACCAATCATGGCCGTTCAATTCCTGCATACTCGCGGCATCTCCAGGCTTTTTCCTAGCCACTGACGGCTAGAAATTTTCTCGAACGCCTTCTCTGATACCATCCTTTCCACTTCAGGTAACGTGCAACATCGTCCTGCCGCCTGCGTTCAGGTCGATGAGATGAGCTTGTCGTTCCTCTGTCAAGTTCCGAATTGGACTCGGTCTATTACAGGCCCCCCACGGCGTCCCCCGGCTGCTGTTACGTTTCACTGCGGTGTTGCTGCCGCCCTTTGGTCGTTGTTATTATCGCTGTCCGGCTGTCATTGTCAGCCCTACGGCGCCTTTGATGCCCTGAGTCGACCATGTCACTGTCGGACCGCGCTAGACCGAGAGAGCGGCAACAAACCGACTCACCAGCCTGCGGTTGAAATTTTCTTTCCTTGGCTTTCGTCCTGGGCGGCGCTCCCAGTGCCCACGTCTGGTGATGGGCGCGGCGGATTCCTAGCGAGGATTACGGCCGCGCTTTTGCCTCCCTTCAGAACCCATCTCATCCCATCCACATCCCAGACCAAGGATGAAAAATTCTCCCCCTAGTTTTTCTTACGTCTTACAGTGGGACTGGCGCAGAGTTTTCCTGCGATCGGAGCGGGCCGCTGAGATGAGCAAGACACATCAACTACGAGATGTTTTTTGTAAAGCTCTCGTCGTTCGTCAGGTCGGATGGGCTGATATCCTATATCTCAGCCGGGCAACGCAAGCTCACTTCTCGGTTGTTGGAAGCGGTCTTTGCGTATTTGACTTTCAGTGTGCTGAGTGCACTGCGGGGTGATGCCTGTCTTTTGCCGGCCCCCAGTGCAACCCCTTCCCCTGCCGACATGTGGCCGCAATTAACAATTCCGCAACTGTCACGGATGCTGCGTGCCGGCTTCCGTTGAGTTTTTCGGAGATGAAGCCATCGACAGCCCCGGTTCCGCTTCGGCATTACGACTCGCGAGTGCCTGAGCCGGCAGTCTGCCACCTCGCCATTCTTGCTCGCGTGCAGTAGCCTTCCGGTGGTTTGCTTCCGGGTCGCGGTTCCAGTCTCCGGCAGTCATTGCCGGGCTATGAATCGCGGGCCTATTGGCCAGTACCGCGTCCCGACCGAAGATTTTGATGAGTCAATTCTAGCACGTGGTGTCCGAGATGTTGTAGCGTCTTTCAAAGTTGCAAATAATGATTGCTTAAGTGTAAGTTCGTCTTCTATTTCATCGCTGATCCATCCAAGACGCGATACTCTGTACGCTCTATCCGCTGGTTCGCGGTTGCTCCCTCTGGGCGGTTGAAATCGCAGTGAATTCGCAGACGACTTCCGGCGGACGGGGAGACATGCACGATTCCCGGTTATCACTCTGTGTTCTCCCGAAACTCCTTCATCCTCTTCGCATTCAAGACACCAAGGAACGTGCATTGAGACTCGCACACAGGCGCTGGAGCCACGGTCGTGATGTATGTGGTTGGTGTTGCTACCTAGACATGTCACAGTATGCAAGCAAGCTTCACATAGCGCCGGTGTCCTCTCCGGGGGCATTTAAGTTGCAGTGAAGAAAAAAGAGGTCGGGCATCTTTTTGCTTTGGGTAGGCGTCCGAAATGCGGTGAAGTGGAAGTGGGAAAAAGACGTTGGGGTCTCTTGGGGCTATTAAATTGACCCAGGAGGGTCTGTAACGCAGTGTAGGGCGACCGCAGACGAGCCAGATCAACACTGAAGCTTGCCTGGGCAGGTCATGTGACGATCTACAGCGGCGCAGGTTTTGAATTTCGCCGACCCGACGGGCCATGATAATTATTGGACGTCTGATAGAGGTACCTAGATTGCGAATCATTTTCTCCGTTGTTGGCGCCGTACAAACACGGAGCGGAGGCTGTTGATACTTCGGTGCCGGCCTTCAAATTCCACTTTGCTCCGGCTGTGTGGGCCTCATCGGACTATTCGGTGCCGTTTCGGCTTCGATGAACACGGTAAGATGGAAGTTAACAGATACCTCAATTCATATCAATGAATGAGCTTGTGTATTGCTCGGCGTCTTTCGGCCACCGAGTTTGGATAGATGGGACGAACGTTCCTACAGACCAGCTCAAGCGCTCGGGCACTAGTAGGCGCCGTAGGTCCTCTCCAACGATGTCGTCACTGACTGCATGTGGTGTATTATGCCTGTCTCATTCCTCAACGTCCTCCTGCCACGAAATCAAATTTTCAAAGCGAAGTGAACAAGTCCAAGTCTCCCATACACTTGTGAAGCTCATGGATCGAAACCAAATTCATATCATCAACATGGCGAACCTCATTGCAATCGAGGAGCACTACCTGTCTCCCCTGCTACCGGAGCAGAAGGGCAGATATAACCGTCCCAGCGTCAAGGACTTTGGAACCGCAGTCATTGATAAACTTGGCGATCT